AGGGTTGGAACACTTTCCCTATGAAGAAAGGTTAAAACGCTTGGGGCTCTTTAGCTTGGAGAAATAATGGCTGAGGGGTGACATGATTGAGGTTTACAAGTTTATGCATAGGATAGAGCAGAGTATTCTCACAATACAAGAACTCATGGGCACTCAATGAAATTACTGAGCAGTTGGGTTAGAACAGATAAAAGAAAGTACTTCTTCACCCAAAGAGTGATTAACACATGGAATTCATTGCCACAGGAGATGGTGGCAGCTACAAGCATAGACAGCTTCAAGCGGGAATTGGATAAACATATGGAGCAGAGGTCCATCAGTGGCTATTAGCCACAAGGTATAGATAGAAACTCTCAGTCTGGGGCAAGTGATGCACTGTATTTTTGGTGCTTGGGGGGGCAACAGTGGGAGAGCTTCTAGTGTCCTGGCCCCACTGCTGGACCTCCTGATGGGACCTGGTATTTTTGGCCACTGTGTGACAGAGTGTTGGACTGGATGGGCCATTGGCCTGATCCAACATTGGCTTCTCTTATGTTCTTATGTAGGACAAACCATACAATTCCTACATAATGTTTCACTGGTTCAGAACTGTTAAAGCAATAGATGTATTTTCCAGGAAAGGAGCTGGCTATTTATGCCAGATTTCTCCCTAGGAAAATGGGGTTTATGACATCTGCCAACAGTTAATGTTGCAGGAGCAGCAGCGTGAAGTAATGGGCAGAGCTCAGGGAGATCAGAGTTCAAATTCTCATTTAGCCATGAAACACACAGAAAATTCTGTGCCACTCACCATAACTCAGTCTAAATTGCCACACAAGTTGTTGTGGAGATAAAAAGGGAGTAAACATATATGACCTGAGCTCCTGGGTGGAACGACAAGCTACAGATATATCCCAAAAGTACAAGATATGCTATTCCATACAAGGGAGACCATGTAAAATGAGGTCACCATTTGATAATCATGGGGAGTGGCCATGGCTCAGGAGCAGAGGATCTACTTTGCACACAGAGGGCATCTCCAATAAAAGGATTAGAGTGTGGAGGACATGGAAAAACCTCTTTCTCAACCTGGAGGGCTGTTAGAGAAGATAGTACTGACCATGACAGACCAAGGGCAGCTTCACATGAGTAACAGTGCTTAGACTGGTTCACACACTCCCTGGGCAAAGGTACACATGGGAGAGTGGAGGTGCATGTTCCTCCCACACTACAGGTTCAAAGAAAATATGTGCAATACTGTCTACTTAGTTATGCAGAACAAGTGGTACTTAAATCTTGTAGGTGTTGCAAGGATGATATATGCCAGGCACTAGAAAACACACACCATTCCACTGAA